CTTTTGAATTCTCCTATCCACTATCCCTTAACCCCGTGACGTTTCACTCAGAGGTCAAGGAATAGGAGATAGGGTTAGAATTTAGGAGCTGATTTTTGGATTATCGGAACGCAACCAGTGTCTCCCAGTAGCGTGGCGTGGGGGAAAAAATAGGGGAAGCCAATAATACGTCCTTTCTTTTGGGTCGGGGGTGTGGTGGTCAATGTAATAACGTAACCAGATGAGTGATTACAGCACCCGGTATCATTTTACACACATTTGTATCATACAGATGCAGGACTGTTAGCCTGTTATCTAACCGACAGGTCCGCACGCACTCTCCAGCCGAAACTCTAATAAGCATTCATTCACAAACTAAATCAGGAGACCTTTAACATTTTACGTCCGATTCGCTCCTGTTTTCCTCACTGTGTGCACAGCTCCAGTTTGGGTATTGGCCTGTCATCAGATTTGATTTGTTGTTGCTGCTGTAGCAGAAGTTTAGTACAATTATTTTTGATTAAATACTCCAAATCGCCACCCTCCATATTAATTGCACTTGCTTCAGTTGCTTGCTACTTTCTAACGGCGATGAGAGTGGTGCAGTGACACTATCTATCTTTTATCGATTAGTTTTATGATTCGAAAATTATAAAAGTAGGGTAGACATGTGGATATTATTCGACTGAACAAAACGTGCATTTATCTAACAGGTTCGTTTTCCACTGACCTTATTTCGAGATATTTTCCAAAATCCTATGGAGAAATACCATTGCCTTTTTGTCGAGGGAAACCGAGCGCAGCTTACTTCCGGGTTTTAGGATGCGTCACTGCAACACTAAGTTGATGCGATTTGATTGGATTGTGAGGCAAGGAAAGCCAGCCGCCTCTGTCTTCCCTTGGCATGGCCCTGACTAATCACAGGTTGGCAGGGGCATGACGTGAGCCTTGTCTGATTGGTCAATCCCTCCATTTTTTTTCACCAAGGGAAGCCAATTTCGACTGGCCTCCTCTCGCAATCTACTCTTTCACCATAACATCTAGAGGGGCGCTGTTTCACTCTTTGTAAAATACTCAATGAGAATGGGGGAGAGACGGGCCGGCAGCAACACACAACAAAGAATTTCCGAAACTAAACGAAGTGTTTTTATTTATTTATTAAAATTATAACTACAATCCGAAAAAACAGGGGAAGCCTGGCTTCCCTTGGCCTCCAGGAGAAAACGCCACTGGTGTCTCCTCGGTTATAGCTCCTCCAGAGAGCCTTCTCGATGCTCGGTCCTCGAAGTGCATTTAGAGAAATGAGATGTCCTTCAACATGGCATGCTGAAATTCATTTCCGGGTCACTACCGGAAGACCGAGGAGTCGAGGAGGGGAAATTTAAGAATTGAGAAGCCTCTAGAGAAAAAAAACATTCTCTACAAAAACCTGTCATGTTCCTTCATAACTACTGTATGACCACGAGTAATGTAGTCTATTTTAGTCAATCACCCTGTAGCTGTTATTACTCAAGCACACCAAATGTATAATAATCTACAGTTGAAATAGTCCCTAAAAAATGCACTTTACTTCTTCTTCAGTACCGCAGTGGACAGGTGTTTTGGAGAGACCTTTGCATTATATGTTGTCACAGGAGAAGTTGTTTTTATTGTATGTATGAATAAAGGTATTTTTACGCATCTATCTTACCTGTGAAGATATTTGCACAACAGCTTTTAGCACAAAGTCTTCTAAAGTCGTAAAGACCTGATCAGACTTGATATAAAGGTCTAGAACAGAAAGAGGTAGTAAATTACCAGCCAGCAAAAGTTTAAAAAAATGCTTTTGGTTGCAAAATGCAAAATGTGTGAGCCAGAATCATTGAAGACTATGATTATAAAAAAAACTAAAGTATGGTTATGTTTCACTACTCTTAACTGGTGTTGACCGTTCCTCAATCTTTATTGAAACACAATATAAAAGCACTGTAATATTTCTATTGAAAAATGACCCTCTTCCGTGGGAACTATTGGGCGACAGGCTGAGAGCCACAGGAAGGGGAGAAGAGGCATTAAGTTATGAGAGGGACAACATAATCCATCATTGCTTTTTTATAAGGTTATTTTGTTTAAAGAAAAAAACAAGACTTGACTTGATGATGACGGAGTTGACTTGGGCAGTGGTCTAATAGTAAAGACAAATTGGTTCTACCTCTTTCCCTTTAGTTTGATGATTTTAAAGACTCCGAAATAATCTGATTGCATAGGGATGTTATTGCGGAGCGACATGTCCTTTTATTTTGTAAGGGGTAGTCCTGTGGGTACTCTATGCCAAAAAAGATGAAGGAATATTTTATTAAGACATTTGTATTTGACCAGTTCGTCATCATTGCTGCCACCTAGATTTAAAAAAAAAGACTGTTGACAGCAGGCCAGGTATTAGATTTGTGATTTTAAACCTGTGTCTCAAGACTTCACCAACCCTTGCTTGCCCGGACTTCTAATAGATTCATGATTTCATCAGCTCAGAGTCACAATTCCTCAGAAATATTAAGTTTCATTGGCCCTTTGCAGAAGTTGAAATACTCATCACCACATCAGTAGGATCAGAGTTAGTTATTTTTTCCTCTTTTTTTTTTCTTTCTTTCCATGTGTCAAGTTTAGCTTTTGATCAAACAGAAATGCAGGCAGCCCTCGAAAGCACTCACTTTCAAATTCATTCACAATTTGGCGGACGCTTTGTAGAAGGAAGCAGCCAACGGTCTTTTTTCCCCTCTTCCTCTCCATTTCACACACTGAGCACGTACATACACAATCATTACTATTATATCGCAGTTCCATGGCCTTCCTCTCACCTTCATGTGTATCTGCGGCCTGACAGACAATTTCTAAGACATCCAACTAATTCCATTACTTTTCATTCTCATCTTGGAAATAGATATTGCTCTGCCTGTCTCCTGTTTCTGAAATGCATTTATCGAGGAGAGAGAGCAGGACAAGGTTAAAGAAATATCTCCCCGTACATGTCAAAGCACTTGAGGCAGAGTCGTCCTAATATCCTCTTCATTTTTAGAAATTCCCAATATGATTTCTCTCTCATTTCCTGTCTGCCTCTCGCGCTCTGTTCAGTTATCACATCTCTCTTTTGGAGGAGTTATCACTTTTGCTATACCTCATTGCAGACAAAGAGGAGGTGGCAAACAGGCATTGAAAGTGAATGCAGTTTTATATTCAGCAGTCAGATCCAGCGTTGTAAACTTCTCAGTGTCTTATGGGCAGACCTAAACGATCCTTAAGTTGTGTTTCAGTCGTTGACAGCAACTTTCTACCTCGTGTTAGCATTCCCGTTTTTTTAATTGTTATTTTTTTCTAGTGGTTTATGGTTCATCTTCATTCTCTTCTTTGAAAGGATCAATCTGAAATGTTTTAGAATATTGTCCTGCACAAAGAATTTCAGCTTCAAAGAGGCATTATTCATCGTTTATTTGCATCCTCATAAGCTTTAACAAGTGGTTGTTAGTCTCACTGGAATCAACATTCAGTTTTGATCAAAATAAACAACCATTTAGAATTGCAACGTAATGAGAAAAGACGGAACAAAAAGATTTTAGCATCAGAAAATATGAGGATGAAAACAAAAACAAATTATGATCAGATCTTATTACATCTGTGTGAAATTCATCAGTGAGTTTGTGATTAAAAATCTACTTTTGATCCTTTCTATACTGAAACTTGGCAAAAAAAAGTTAGAGGACACCCTCTGCTCGTTAGGGGTATACATAAGGATTACTTTCATTATCAAATAATCGTTATTTAATATCCATATTTTTTTTGTCATTGACAATCAATTGTTTTTTTCGTTATCTCAAATTATCCCTTGGTCTTAATGGTCCTCCCTGACAAAGTATAGGTTAACAAAAATAACTTAAAATGTCTTATTGTCTACAACCCACAATAAAAAAATTCAGAGATACATTTAGTTCCCTAAAACATATGAGAAGTTAAAACAGGAAATGGCCCTGTTGGAGACATTGGAACTAGAAGCTGTAAGTAGTATATTTGACTTTGCTATAAGGAATACGTTAAACCAATTATTAAAATAGTTCCCAGTAAATCCAGTCCATAAACTCTTAGCCATGTACCTGAGTGTATACAGTATTAGTGATTAGTATTTATCTTTTAAAGACCTAGAAAGGGTTATTAATGCCTTTGTTACCTCAAGACTGGACTATTGCAACGCTCTGTATGTTGGTATGGACCAGGCCTCAATCAAACGCCTGCAGCTAGTCCAAAACGCAGCTGCACGTCTTCTGACTGGCCACAATTGGGTGACCACATCACCCCAATTCTGGCCTCATTGCACTGGCTTCCAATTTGGTTCTGAATTGATTTTAAAATCGTTTTATTTGTTTTCAAAGCCCTAAATGGGCTGGCTCCTGCCTATATAGCCAAACTCCTCCATCGCTACACCTCAGCCAGAGCTTTAAGGTCTGCTGACCAGCTGTTGCTGGTAGTGCCCAATACCAGGCACAAAACCCGAGGGCACCGAGCCTTCGCAGCAGTGACCATGTGAGGTCGGTCGAGACACTAGGGGTTTTTAAATCCTCACTAAAGACTTCTTCTCCCTGGCCTTCTAGTCAGAGCGGAGCATGACACCTGACTATTCCCTGTGTTTTTGTTTTTTATATTTCTGTTGAAAATTATTGTCTTTTATTGTGATTGTAGTAATGTGTTTTTATTACATGTACAGCACTTTGGCTCGACCAAAAATCGCTTTTAAATGTGCTATATAAATAAAACTTGATTTGATATCGTTTTGTTCTCCTATACATTTTCATTGAAAAAGAATGTAAAGTTGTGGGGGTAAGCTGTACAGCAATAGCTGAGAAATTACTACAGCGCTTGAGTGATGAGTTTGCATTTTCTCACCATTAAATACTGCATAAGTCATGTTCAGTGCCTCAGTGCCCCCCCCCCCCCCCCCCCCCCCCCCGCCCACCCTGTCTGATGCTGTGCTCTCTTCCTCTTCTTCCCACGCCCAGAAAGCCAGACTGGCCAGGATAAGAATATCCAAGTCCAGCGCCAGCGCCTTCCTGCACAACAAATGCAACGGCCTGCTCAACGAACTGCTGGAGCTGACGGTGAGAACGACCTCCGCCCTCTGCGCACACACAAACACCGACAACCACCAGCAGCGCGACCAAGTGGGCGCCGTTATTACTCCGATGTTCAATGTGTTCATTAAAAGTGACATGAAGATGTCAGCAGATTGTAATTCAATATGAGAGATTAATCATATTTTTCCTTGTAAAACATCCTATTACTAATTATTCCAGTTCCCTGCAACGCAAGGAAAACATTCACATCTGTAGTATACACACACATTTACACACACACACACACACACACACACACACACACACACACACACACACACACACACACACACACACACACACACACACACACACACACTGACAAACATTTACTACTATAATTAAGCAAAGGACAATTTAGAAGTCATTTAGAGGCAATGAAAGCAGCTGCATTTGGAGTCATTACTTTCTGGTTGTCATATAGGAGTCATGCCAATAATCGAACATTCAGGCGTTATCAATGTCATCACACAAAATACTTGTTCTTAGTTGTCTGTTAATCCTAGATTTAATTTAATCCACATCTGTAAAACTGGCAAAGTCTAACTTTGTACTTCCCTTGCTTGTTATTTAATTGCTCTTGGTGATAATTAGACGGTTAGTGCATTAAAAAAGAGGCTGCTGCTAACTTCAAAAGTGCAGCAGTGAACAATAAGGCCGCGGAGGACACTCAAACCCCACGACTCCTGTTTCTACAGAAGAGAAACAATGTTTCTGTCCTTCTTCAGAGGTACACCATGTTTCTGTCTTTCCTCCTCTCTATGATTATAGACTGCATTGTTGTTATGTTATTGTCTTTTGTCATCACCATACTTAAAAAACTGACAACCATTTTTCGTGGCAACAAAACAAGTTTAAAGAAATGCTTATTAAGTTGAGATGATGAGGTTAAATATTTACACATCAGAGCAACAGTACATTAACCAATCTACTTCTTTTCTTTTTTTGAACTCATCCGCTTTAAGTTTGAACCATGTTAATGCATGAGCAAATTGCCTGTGTCCTTCCTGTCCATAAGTCTTGCTACACGCTCCCCTCCATGCAGATGGAAACTGAAATGCATTTGGATCTAATAGAGTCCAGTGTGAAGGCTCATGGGTATTAGTGGTTAGAATTATCATATACACTCCATCTGTGAGCGCAGAGCGAGCGTATTCCTTGGCGTGTGTGATGAGTCCTGCCGCATCAAATGAGGGTGTTGTCACTGCTGTCAGTCAGCAAGGGGTCCGCGGTGGGGTCGAGTGCGAGGTGACATATGACAAAATGACTGCTTCTTTCACAACCAAAATTAGAAGTTCTGGTCTGCTAGTTTTTCATCTCCCCTGAAGGCTTTTTAATTTTCTGACAGCCATTTATTTGTTACCTATATCACAGGCTCATTATCGTAGAGGGTGATTTATTGATAATCCTGTCAAGTTTTATTATAAGCTTCATCAGAAAGGCCTTACAGCGTTATTCCTTTAGCTGCTGTTGTATTTCTCTTTTTACTTTAGAGTGACAGGATTTGTTCTGATATGGTAAACACCAAATCACTGCCAACATGGCGGGTTACAGGTGCTAAATTACAACAGAACCAGTCAGATAGATATATATATAGTATTTACTGTATATAGGAAAGGAGAAATGGGGCTCACAATCACAGCTGTCTTATTTCCTGTGTTCTTCTGCACATGTTAGAAAAAGGGCAATGGACCGATTGCCATACAAATTGTAATAAATGTAAGACAACAAATATAAGATGAAGATAAGATATTGTTTTACAGGAATGTGAAATATTCTTTATCGCGGTTTATGTCATTAAATATTTAGGTAGTGCATTTTTCGGGAATATTAATTGAAAAACTGTTGAATAAAAAAGTAGAATGGGAATGTCCACTTTTGAGAAAAACATCTATTTGAATGATCGATAAATACAAGATCACATTACTGAAGAAATAATAACCAAACTAATATATTCGTAAAGCAGTTCTACTTATTGATTGGTATCATTTACACTAAGAGATGTACCTCTTTATTGTCATATCATACACAACAAATGGACCATTTAAGAAAAACAGCTCTAAGCCTTGTAGATAAGACAAGTTAAACAAAAAATATAATTTTCACAGTGAGGTCAATGCCGTCAAAATCACTTTCCAAATGGATTGTACCAACTGAGCTTCTTACACAAGAGTGTTGACACAGGTCTCTAACTATATGTGTTTGACAATGCCTCTGCCACAGATCCATACATTGAAACATCAGAAGACGCAGTTTCCTCATGCGCACATCACTGTATTGTTCATGTGTCTGGAATTTGAATGAGAGTCCTTGGGCAGGATCGCCACCCACCCAAATCCTTTGAGTAACAATGTGTGCTGTGGGGAGGGAATTCATTTGTTTTCAGTTTTCATGTTTTTGGCAATTGTGATTGCTTTGAGACTAAGCTATATTGGAGCGGAGCTTTGAATCCGAGTTCTGTTTGGAGAAACACAAATCTCTTTTCCTCAACTCTTCTCCAACTCCTTTTTTGTGACGCTTCACACATCAATATCTGTTCAGCTGCCTGGAGCATCAAATGTGCTCAGTGGCACCTACTTAGATAATTAAGGAAGAGAGCTGGCAACAACACAGTTTTCACATTTTTAAGTTCAATAAAGGAGAAGGTATTTTGGAGCCTGCTTACACCAAAATAAGGTAATTACAGTAATAATGGCACAAAAGATGCACCATGGGACAATTCATTATAAACAAACTATTTGACAAGGCAGAGGGATCAATTCACACAGAGTGGAAATGTGGCCCACTATGTCATTAATTAACAAGTAAGTTATCTGAAAGCAAGCAGCAGGATTTGTCCGTTACCTGATAATGATAATAATGATCAATACTAATGATAATACTAATGATTGAGATACACAAACATAAACCAGGATCATCCAGTTTAAAATGGCACACATGGAGCAGAACTAGTCACCTCTGACTTCATTACGGATGACAACGGAGAGGCTTTAATGAGTCAAGAAGAAACACCTACAATATAATTTGTCAAAATGCATCAATTTTGTGTGTGTATGTTTGTGCGTGTGTGTTTGTGTTTGTGTGTGTGTGTGGCTTACTAAGGATACAGAAGAGGATGATCAGAAGCTGAATAAGTCAACGTCTCTGTTAGAGAGCCAACACCACCACCTACTGAACTGTCTGGAGAAAACCACTGTGGGTACACTCGATCGCTTCTCTGTCTCTGATCCTTGCAGCGTAAAACAATCCTACAACTACATGAATGTGGTTGAAACTACATGTTAATTATCATTTAAGTATTGAATCATGATAATATGGTTTGCATTAGATAAGTAGTAGTTAAGTTTAAAATGTTTGCATTGAAAATGTAACTTGAGAAATAGTGTGTAAGTAAAATCTGAAAAAGTACCATATCCAGGAAAAAACTGTTTTTCTTATGGATTAATCTGAGGATTATTTAAATAAATACCCGTCACAATTATCCAGAAACCATACTGACACCTAACTAAACCCAACCCGAAGGAGTTTGATACCACCGCTGGGAACCACACACTCCACCTGCAAAGATCTCATAATCATGTGTATTCCCTGTTTGTTTTTATTCATTACTGATATTATATTATTGGAGTGTTGTGGCTGTCCGGGATGAATATCGTCATGACAGTAATGTTTCCATCTCATATTTGCCTCAACATCAGGAAGAAAAAGATTATTGACAAAAAACCCTCAAAATGTTTATATGTCAGTTTGACACCTTTCCAAAGTCCGCACTCTAAAGTGATGTTGATGTTGTCAGTTGACTCACTGCAAAAATATTTCAGTGTAAAAAAACGGATTTGTCAAAGGCAGTGATGCTCTATCCATTAAGCAAATATACAGAGTGAGTTTATGAATGTTCTTCTGGTTCAATTATATATATATATATATATATATATATATATATATATATATATATATATAATAATCAGTAGTAATTATCTTTCTTTGTAGAATTTGAAATGATATCACTCAAGGCAACTACATCTGTGTTGTATTGACTTTAAACTCTCTTTTCCTCTTTCTGCACCTTTGCCTTCACGTGTATTTAATCCCCCGTCCTGTCTCATCTCTCCAGGCTCATGAGTTTGTAGACGAGCAGATATACGAGCAGAACTGTTTGGACACGGCGCTGCAGAGCTACCACTCACGCAGCCCGTCTGTATCCAGCAACGACGAATCTGTGGGCACCTGCTGTGGCTGCAGGACAAAGAAAAACACTCCTCTGCCCTGCAGCCCCCCCGTCCCGACACAGCAGAGCCCTCTGCAGGAGCTCAGCGCCTTCCACATAGGCTCTGGAGGGTCCCACACCACCAGGTAACAGACATACTGTTAAATCTGGCCAGGGACTTAAAGTGGGAGGACACTGGTTCTTCCCCACTTTAATCCCTGAATATTTCAGCTCCACACCTGTACCGTTTAAACACTGCCTCTTGCATGGTTGGGATACTAGTTATCACTGCAAACATTATAAAACGTGAGCATTGTCCGTCAAAAATAAAATGATTGAATATAGTCAAAAAATAAAAGGTCAAGAAAAAGTCATAGTGTGTCGCCAAAAATATTGTATTATGTTGTTTAACATACATTATAACATTGTTAATAGTTTGTCTTACTCTCTACATGAAATCTCTTTTTTCCTAGTCGATCAAAGCTCAACCTGAAAACGAATGACAGCGTCAGGATCAACAGTAAAGGAGAACGCATCACCACAGCGATCATCAGCCTCCCGTCGCCTCCCTCTTTAAAACCCCGATGCTGCTGGCCTCCGCGGGCCCCCACAGAGGAGGCCCCCCCCGCCCCCGGGTCACCCTGCAGCACCGAGCATCCAGACCACAGCGAGCTCAGCTGGAATCAACATCTTCAAAGTGTCCGCTCTGTAACTCTCTGACAGGGGTAACTCATCTCAGCTGGAGGAAAGAAGCGGGGAGGAGGAGGAGGAGGAGGCGAAGCAGGTCATACTAACTCTAATGACGCACCACGTCCCGTCTCACAGGGTCAACAGGAGGAGAGGCAGACATCACTGAGGTACAGGATTGTATATGTGAATTGAAAAAAAATAGTCACTGCATTTCTAATACTTTCTAACAGCAGTACATATGTTTGACAGCAGGCAGTGTGGAAAAGATTGAAAGACATTTTGCAGTTAGCTTATCTGTACATCAGCAGATGCTGTCAACGTACCACAAATTCACGGTAACATTTTAAGTGGATATACCGTGAACCTGTAAAGATATTTCAAATGTGTTTAAAGAAAGATGCAGAAACGTTTTTAAATGTGTTTACTTGAATTTGATTGGTCCTGTTTGTGTTACGTGTTGTTTGTCTCAACGATTACACTTTTAGGTTGCTTTACAGCATCATTTGCAAAGCCACGGTACGATGCTGCTGATATGTGAGCTTGATATGTCTAAAAGAGAAAAGAGATGGGGCCATTTTTTAAATGTCAATGTCTGACCTGAGTTTGAGGCTGACCTGACACTGTCTTCATACCTTAAAGGGTTTCCTAATGAGGTTAAACGTTTCAACATGATACCACACAATTACTTTCAAGGATGATGATTAAAAAGAAAAGGCAAACAATGAAAAAAACAAAAAGCATCGATGTGTTAGTCTGTCTCAAACTTCCGACCTCTTCTTTGTGGCACTCAAGATTATTTGTTACTACTAAAGACAAAATTAGAAAAGGTACAACAGCAAAAAAAAATCGGCACTGAAGTTCAAGCACATTTTACTTTACGTCAGCTGCGGATGGATTCATATCAAGATTACAACTGAGAGCAACAGAGTGGTCTTTATGGGAAAGCATCAGTGTCCATGTTCACTGTAATTAAACATGTCATCCAGTGCAGATTTCTGATGTGTGTTTATAGAGGTTACAAAGGAGTAAGCTTATATCAGGCTTCGGCCTATGAAAAATATTGAATATTTACAGCCATATCCCTTAAATGCATACGGTACATTTTTACCAAACGAGTACATGATCCTGTTTGTATAAATGTGCTTTTAGTGGTGTGGAATAATTAAATCTGCAGCTGCTGCGCTGCCTCTACCCGTTGAGTGTTGTAGGCTGAGGGGACATGAGAAAATGATAATGTGTGTTTTCATTATGAGCACGAGTGGGCATTTTAGGTAATGAATGCAAAAAATGTTGAGCACCACTCTCATTTCAAGCAGCATCTGCAGAACATTACAGGGAGGGCAACTCATGATCAATCCATGTTTTTCAAGCTTCAAAGCCACACTAAAAGCAGATTTTTTACAAAAAGTTACAACAAGGTTACACTACAAAAGTGTATCTGGGGCATCTGATCACTTAAAGCAGAAATGTGAATGCTCAAATTGGCTGTACCATGTTGTGTCTTGAGTTAAACTGTCAAGGAAGAGATGATATTTCACTGCAGTGGGTTCAGGAGATGTAAGATAAACTACTAAAATTACATTTATTTCAAAAATTAAAGTATTACAATTTACAGGAAGTAAATGTGCTAGTTTGAAAGGATAATCCAAATCTGAAGTCCCTTTTCTGGCTTTTCCTACATCAAACATGCTTTACATTAAAGTCAACGTAGATTATAACACAAAGATCTGTGGATGAAATTACAACGGCTGCAGAGAATGCATTTTAACAGATTCATCGCTGACGAAAACCTTGCGATAGAGTAGAAATCCTTGGAAAAAGGGCATTAAGAGAACCTTGAGCCAGAATAGCTCTCTGAACATTTTTCCAAGGTTAATATGAAGCTTTGAGGCCATTAGCAGCTCGAACATGATCATCTGAACGATGGCCACAAGATGGCAGCAATGATGCATTCTGACATTAAAAGAATAATAATTCGGAAGTAATAAAAGATAATTGGGTCTTGTTTATGGACCAACTCCTGCTTTCATATTCTTTTTTTTCCTCCTTCGAGTTGTTTTTTGATTGACGCCCGGTGTTTGGAATAGTTTGTGACTTCTTGCAAAGTGTGCTATGGTTATGTGTCGACTATGTGTTTAAATGTCTTCATTGTTTTGTTAAAGTGGAAGCTACGATCAAATGAAATAGTTTTGACTGTATCTGTATACTTTGTGCTCTTTCCTGTAGTGTGTCACGTTTTAAAACCCAGGTGAACGTACTTGTGCCAAAAGAGTCACTTTTCCATCCTCTGTAGGAACAACAAAGTAGTTGAACTCTTTATAATAAAACCGTGTAAAAAATTACACACCCTTTAGATACTTTTTAGAGCTTTTCACAGTTTCATACAGACCGTGCTTCAACAGCAGAAAGCCTGCTCTCACACGGTGATGATGTATGATGAACATGTGCTGTGATATTAAGATGGAGTTGGTAAAGGGTGGGGGTCACTTTTTGAAAAGTCTTGGCATTGCTGTATGTGTTGTTTTTATCTTTTTGAGCTGAGCTTTCTGTCTTTTTCTGTCTTTACAGTACTCTGTCAGTTTATTTGTTATAACAGCTATGAAGTGACGGGTGAGAAATACAATCTGCCACAACAATGGAGTGTGTCCTTTCTTCTTCCTCCCATCTGCTACTTTACAACACTTAAATGGAAAAAGAACAGTCTTGTTTTAAATAACTCAACACAGTTCAAAGCTAAGTTGAGTTAACGCAGTTGAATTGATTGATGTTGTTACTTAAGTAAAAGTAAGCACTAGCATCAAAATTCATTTAACTTGCATAATTAAAAGTAGCATTAGTTGCAGTCCTTTCTATTAAATAGTTAACATTAGCTCAGAATCCAGCAAATGTAGAACTTGCTTTATATTAATGGATGAGAAACAATAATCGATATACAACATACAGTACAGTATATCACATTGGGAATTCTTCTACACTTAGTACTTTTAATACTTAAAGTATAATAATTCCACCAGTCACTCAAAAGTAACACTTTTCCTTCTATTAGTTTCAAACACTGAATTTGTTCCCATCTGCACATGGAGCCATGTCCCACTAGGTGGCAGCATTGTACACAATTAATATTTCGTTGAGATTATCTGATTTATTTATTACTGAATAAATATAATTCACTTATCAAATATGTAGTTTAACAGGAGAGTTGTTCAGTTATTACATCCAATAATAAAAGGTGTCGAAAATATCTAAATGGATACAATGTTTTTTGAATAATAGTCATAACTTTTTAATAGACTGTTTCAACTTTAGTTACATTTCTATTATAGAAATGTGTATTGTAGAAATACAATTTTAAGATACTTGTCCGGCAATGTATTATCACTAATCAAAAATGTAAGGTGTACTCAAAAACCATCTCCCTTCACTTACATCCTAAATGTATAAGTAAATCTGATTTTTTATTTAATCTTCAATATTAATGAAATAAAATAGCCACCAAATGTGGCAACATAAATGAATAAACTAACATTGTGTTAACACAAAGCTTTGCAAAGGGTAAAGATAGAGAACAATAAAGTAAACTTCTAGGTGCTGTAATAAGCAACCCGGTATCACAGCAAGACGTGAACATGTGACGATTTACCATGCTGGGAGACGTGAAGATATCACGATTTCGTCCCTTCAAACGTGACAGCTACACGGTATTGTTAACATGGCCCAACCATTGGAGAAATACCCATAACCAGCACGGTAAATCGTCACATGTTCACGTCTTGCCGTGATACCGGGTTGGTAATAAGATGTGATTCACAAGTCCAACGGAAGTTGCTTTATGTTTCTGACACAAGTCTTAAACACCACCTTCATGTGTTCAGCCAGGTGTTTCACTCTCAGCTCACTCCCAGCCACAAGAGTGACTGTGAACTTTCTCAGCTCAGAACCATCATTAGTGGTGGTGTGGCTCAGTATCACCCAGAGGGGGGGGGGGGGGGGGGGGGGGGACTCCTCCGACTGTGACTCACTGTTGCGAGGGTGAGCTGGATGTGTGGCTTTTGATCAGCCTTATTCTGGTAGAAATTATTCAAGAAGGTTATCAAATAAAACAGTACATTTTAGATGCAAAAGTATGATAATGTGAGTGAATTTATTCAAAGGTTTTTTTCACTAGATAGGAAATTGTATTACAAAATAAACCCTTTTAATAGGTTTGCGAGCTAAACTGCTGCCACACTGTATCACAATGCATTACAAACATGACACACAACTTTGGTATGCCTTAATTTGAGATTAAAAAGAAACAAACATGGTCAGCATCACAAACCTTTATGTCGCCAGGTTCCTACAGAATAGCTACAATTATCAGATGCAAGTCTGCAGTGACACATCCTGGCATTTAGATGGCAGTGCACTAACACATTTGGCAGACAGACTATAGCATGCAAGTCTACTAAAAGAAAATACAATAAAGAAAGAGGGTTGTTCAAAGGTTAATAATGAGTACCTAATAAGTATCTTCAGAGGGATCACACTAGACGCAATGCCAAATGAGCCAGAAAGATATTCATTTGACTAATAAGAAAAAACTGAAACTTCTGATGTTTGAGGCGCTGGAACCAGTGTATGTTGTTTCAAATCAAAATCTATCATCAAAATGTTGCAGACTAACTTTCTGCTTTTAGACTTTAAAACTATTTTTTTTAAAAACATAAACCTATTAGAACCTGTTACAAAACCGTATCCCTAATGCATGGCCTCGTCATGAGTAATCTGATATTTCTGAAAGATTAAGTCAAAATGACTATCGTAACTCTTTATAACCCTCCTTGTGTGAACTCGGTATGTGTAACATGATAATATAAAGACATGATCGCATGACAGTTAAGGAGACTGATGTGGTTTTATTATTTAACAGTTAAGGAATGGCACTTACATTACATTAAGACATCGCATGAGCAGTGGCTGGTCCCATTTGGAAACATGAAAGCATGTCATCTTCTCTTTAATTACCACTGCTACACTACAGAGAGGTGACACTAACACTAAGACATACTCTTCTTTCTTGTAGTAAGACTATTAATAGAGCTTATGAATAATGTATATGAACTTTAAACAGGGCTGACTTATCCTGAAGTCACAATTACCCCAAGTTCACACTGATTGACTCTGGCTGGTGACACAGCCATTACTTTGTAATAACTCCAGATTTAGAATTTGAATACAAATCTAACTAACGCTAAATGACCTGATTCACAGAAGCGATTTATGAGCCATGCACAGATCACATACCGAGCAACATCATGTCCACAAAGGAATGTAACTTGCAATTTTCCTAAGAAAGGTGGAAGTCCAACAGGGCTCTTTGAAACACAAGTAAAACACTTAATTGAAGGGGAAATCCTCTCATAATACATAGTGCAGCTGTAGAATGTCTTTAGTTTCCTATCTCCCAATATCGTTTGGTATGTTGATGAAACAAGGCAGAATATCATTTTCCATTCTTTAGGTTTAATCTCCAACAACCAAAACACTGCAGTGCATGTGTGTATGATAAAAACAGCACAACATTTACATTTCAAGTTTAGTTTTAATAATGTGTTGTCTTTACTCAGTAGTTTGATTTACTTTTGAGGGTTAGGGTTACGACAATAACAAATTGAAGATAACCAATCAGGTCATACTTCACAAACCGGATGATATGATAAGAGTGTAATATAAGTGTGGATGTAAAGACTGCTGCTGCTGCTGTGGACTGTGTGTTTCAGTGCTGAGTGATCCGAGGAGACACTTCCTTTTCCAGTATGCATGCATGCTGACAGCTGGGAGGAAGTGGCCACATGCAGGAGAAGCAGCTGCAGGTTGGAGGTCATATTTGATCTGCAAATGTTCCGAATCATAAAGCAACCCGCTCAACGATAAACTCGACCCGTATCATCATCCACACACTGATTAAGATAGAAAGCACAGCATCGTCACACTCAAATGGACGGCTTATAATCAAGTTGTGTAGTGTATGAGATACATTTATGTATGCAGATAATTAATGCACTTCCTAGGCTGCAGTCAAAGTAAGCAGAGTATAAATGTGTTATTTAAAATGAACACAGCTGAGATAGCCTACTGTATGTGTTGGTAAGAAATTAAATGCTTAACATGCTAAGGACGTATATAGAACAGAATATATTGCATTTCCCTTAATGTAAATAATGTAGTTGTTTGGACTATTAAGCAGTTTCTGCAAAATGTCCTTTCTCCCTCTTTCTGTTCAGCAACACAATCATGTCATAGTAAACCAAACCTCATATTGTTTCCTTGACGTCTTCTGATTTGAGGATATGTAAATTATTTGTATCTTTTTAGAGAAGTTACATCTATATTGTGAGAGTGATACACAACTTCCAGAATAGATCCTTCCTTCCTTCCTTCCCTTGCTAATGAAGCATTATATCCGGGTCAGGCAACAAAAGCCTGAGCTCAGGTGTTTCCTGTGTGAGGCAGTGAAGGTGGCAGGAAGCTGTCCCTATGGCTCCTTACATCACACATGTTTCTGTTGGACACTTCCTCCTCAAACTTCCTTTTCCAGTCCAAAGAGTTGTCACATTGGCTTCTAGTCTGTCAGTGTTATGGAATATAGATGTTAACTGTGTTCATGCTTTTTTTAGTAGCTTCAACTATCTGATCTTATTTCCAGATGTTTTTTGTCTCTCTTCATATCTCTAGGAAATCATTACAAGCTGCACTTGGTAAATCTAGACTACTCTTCCATAATAAATGACGGATTCTAGTTTGAATTTAGTCTGTCCTGAGAGGCTCGCTCATTGGAGGAAATTGGATGGGTAACATAAGAGCTCCTCTTGAATGGTGAAATAGCAGAGGGAAAAAAACCGACACACACAAACTCTCACAGCAGGCTGACAGTAGCCAAGCAGCAGCCACTGAGACACACACATAGTCTGAGTCTGTTGATGAAGACACAAGAAGGACTTCATTATCATTTTTTGGAGTAAAGGTATTTTCGTCATCAGGACTTGTTTGTTTTTTTAACTACAGGATTCGCGTCATTAAGTGCCGCGCGCGCATTCCTCAGCAGGATTTGCGCATCTCCAATTGCATTTTGTTTTCTGCTCTCCGGGTGAGCGTTGTTTTAAATTCCCTGCCAGAGGAAAGCTCGCATAGTCATGCTCGAGAGGCGAGCAGCGAAGAGATTCATCTGAAATTCTAGTTTTTCAAAAAATGGAACCACCGCTCTCCAAACCAGAATGCAAAACCATGGACTCGTGTCTGAGGCGACTGAAGCAAGAACTGGTATGTTATGTTGTATACTTCTACTATTGCAGCCAGCTCTAAATTATGTTTTTCTACTTTATTATTGTGCATATCAAACATGTAGTTGTTTATGTGGACTTGGTGCACTTAAGTGCGCGCCAAAGAAAATATATACACGTGTGCTCATTAGAAAATATATAACAAAAGAACGTCATATGTGGCGTCATATTCTTTGCATAAAATGTGTCCGGAGTTGGACAAACCTCTGTCATACTGTAGTTTTTTGCTTCAGCTGGGGGTGCATGTGTATTTT